CAAACTCCTTTGTAAATTCCAATGGCAAGCAAGGGACTCTCTTTGAGCCATTGGCCAGGAAAGCTTCGGTGGCTTCTTAAACAGCATAGACAATTGTCATTGCTCTTTATTTCCCACCAGCAATAAATGACAAAGGCAGGCTGCTGAAGACACCACTTATTTTGGATATTAGACACAAATTTTCAAGCTTGTCCCTGACTTGCAGTTTAATTCCTGTTGGCTAGAGTTCATAAGGTCAGAATGTGCTATTCAGGGTGCTGAGGTAGAAACTGTTATCTGTGTTGCATGGTTACGAACCCTATGAACAATAGAACCAACCTGATGGTAAGGTACTCCAACTCATATAGTAATACCAGGACTGTTTGGGGTGGAGGTTGTTACCAATGATCTTCTGATAGCTTTGAGACTTACTCCATGTGAAAGAATTCATGTCTTTTACTGTAAATCCAGTTAGAGCCTATGACTGGGTAGGTCGTAAGCCATAAGAGAATCTATTAACTGTGCTTTGCTTAGTGGAAATATAGTGAAACTGTCTGTTAGATATTTTTGTTTATACTCATAGACTAACACTGATCCTAGTCTTGATCAAGGCAACTTCTTTTAGCAGTGGGAAATTTTTATCACTCTATAGGAAGTAGAGCCTGGGAAATGGGGACAATGAATAAGTAAAGTAGACTAAACTCACATGCAATAGCCACCTTTGTTCAGAGCATCCAACAATTTATACTCTGAGGGTTAAGAGGATCTACATCCATATAGTGTATAATCACAAGGCCAAGCCACTTGTGACTGACAAGCCAAATGCAGCATAAACATATTTTTCCATAAAAGCACTTACACAGAAGATAATAGGCCGGGTGTAATGAATACTTTGAAGTAAACTCACTTCTATCCAGTACACCTGGGAGGAGCATGAAAGCACATTCCGAGAACAACAGCAGCCTTTTGAAGAAACTGAGGTCACAAGACTCTTGTTTTCTCACAAACAACAATCCTCCTTACATAACTCAATTTTTGGACCATATTTAGATAGGCAATGATTAATATATAGAGTTATAACAGGCCAAAGAGCTGAGAACATGTTAGTACTGAATGCTCAGTCTTAAATAGGACATTTATATCACTGCACTCAGTGTTTAAGGGACATAGGCAATGGAAAGATCATAAGAGCAAGGTAGTGGGAGAAATACTATGAAATTTCACTGTTTTCTGGATCTGACATTGTTAATAATTATAATTGAAACACCTAGTAGTTGTGGTTACCATCATAATACCTGAGTAATTTTGAGCCCTTCAACATCCCATCTTACATGGAAGATTTCATAAAAATTTATTACTCACTGCAGTGCTTTTATTACTCAAAGAAAGGAAGGAAGTTTCTTTCACAATAGTGATGTAGATGCCTGTGCTATGTTAAGCAGTTTTTTTGTCATTTTCATACATACATCTCTAAACTCAGCAACTCTGTAGATGGAGATTTCTTTCCCACTGAGTCATGCAGCCGTTCAGTCCCAACAAAACACACAGAGGCTTATATTAATTATAAACTGTTTGGCCTATTAACTCAGGCTTATTATTAACTAGTTCTTATAACTTAAATTAACCCATAATTCATATTCTGAGTTTAGCCACATGGCTTGGTATCTTACTCAGTGAGGAATTTTCATCTTGCTTCCTTTGCTTCTTGCTGGTAACTGCAGACTGAACCTTTCCTCTTCCCAGAATTCTCCTAGTCTGGTTGCCTGGCCTATACTTCCCACCTGGATACAGGCTAATCAGTATTTTATTAAACCAATACAAGTGACAAATCTTTACAGGATACAAAAGCATTATCCCACAGCACAACTCAGACATATACACACAAGATACAAAATAAGAAGGAGGCGCCTGGAAGTAAGAACAGTCCCAGTAGGAGTAGAAGGTAGTGAAGGGGGATTAAGGTGAATCTGAACATAGTACATTGTACATATATATAAAACTGTCAAAAATATAATTTTATAAAATCTAAATATGAAACATCAGTATGAATCACTTTATTAATTTTATAGTTTGACTAATTTACACATAAATATAATACTTCTTCAACTCTCTTATTTCTCTCCAATTTTGTTAGTCCCCTTCATATCTCTATTTTTCTCGTTCCTAAGTTTGTGGCACTTGGGTTTGTTTTATGATTTGTTTAGTTTAACAAGAGCTATCTGTTCAAGTAATGATTTTCTAGCTCCCCAAATACAGCAATTTTAAGTTTTTAATGTTTTCCAACTATGATTTCATTTTTCCAAAACAGTATTTCAAGTCATTAGAATTCAGTTTTGATTATAATCAATGTACATATACAAGAAGAAATGTGTTCCTAGTATGTAGTGCTTTAATAAATAAAATGACTTGTATGCAAATATATGTACATGTATGTGTATGTTCCTATGTATGGTCATTTGTGTTTATGTTGGTGTACATTCATAGGCATGCATATGTTTATTAAGATTATGGGTCAACCTCTGAAGTCAGCTAGTTTGCTAATTTATAACTTTTTCATTTCATTGCTAGATTCTAAAACTGGGTCTTCATAAATACATGGCAAGCATTTTGCAACTAAACTATATCAAAAATCATTAACATATTCTTGATCAAACTATTTGGAGAATATATCCTTAGTATAACAATCAATAACATATTTAAATTGATAGAAGATTGAATAAGAAATAACAAGTGTAGTTATTCACTTTTGAGTAAAAATTTGCTTTGCTTCCTACCATTAAGGTCCTGCCTTTGATACTTGCCCTGACTTCCTTGGATGATAGACTATGATGTGGAAATGAAAGCTGAAATAAACATGTTTTCCCCAAGTTGCTTTTGACCATAGTGTTTTACCACAGTGGTAGAATCCCTAACAGAAAAAAAATGAAATTTTGGGGTTAGGGTGAGGATAGGGTTTTCATTGGAGATAGTTGTTATATAACAGCATCAATAAAACTTCTGAAGAATTGCAAATTAACCCAAGGATAAAAAATCATATGATCATTTTTTTACATTGAAAACTGATCCTGTTCTCATATAATATGTCTCCAACCCAATTCCCTTACATTTCACTCCTCCCAGCTTCTCTCACCTCCCTTTCCCCCCAGATCACTCCTCTGCCTTTCCTCTTCAAAAAAGAGCAGACCTGCAAGAATGAAAATGTTTCTATGGCATTTAATCCCAGGATTTTGGAGGCAGAGGCAGATGAATCGCTGAGTTCAAGGGCATTCTGGTCTTCAGAGTGAGTTCCAGAACAAACCGAGCTACTCAGAGAAACCACGTTTCAAAAAACAACAGCAAAACAACTAAATGCATTCAATAAACAGGTTGAAAAAAATTAACATAATAGATTTCAAACAAAAACTAATTAAAAGAAATAGAGAAGGAAACTATTTATTCATCTAAGAAAATCCATCAAGATGATATTTCAAGTCTAAACATCTATGTCCCAAATATAAAGACATTCATGTTCAGAAAAATACTACTACAGCTTAAATCACATGTAGACCATCATACACTGATAGTAAGGCAGCAAAATTTCCCAGTGATATATCTTTAGTTCTCTGTCTTCATGAGGTCATGACCGTGGAAATATTTAGCTTAAGACGTGGGTTGAAATCTGGGACAGTAATCCAACATGGCTGCCATATCTACAAAAGGAAAACTATGGACACATTTGCAAAGGTGGTTAAATAATACAGGGGACAGGAAGAGTTGTCTGTAAAACTGGCGGGGGGGGGGGCGGGGGGTAGGTTTGAGATTGACAGGCCCTGGACCTGCTGAGATAGACACAAGGCAAAGGTTCTTTCTTTGTCATCATTGTCCACTCAACTGACTCAAAGTTGTCCTCTGACCCCCACTTTACACCCTAGAACATGCACATTACACAAACACCATACAATAACAATTACAACTAAAATTAAGAATAACAAAGCAAGCCTGGGCATGCTTGCTGTTGGAACTTCTAACTTAGAGTTTGGAGAAATGCACTCTCTAAAACAGAATGAAGCCTTGGTGTAGTCACTGGGGACTGTCACAAAACATTGTCAAGGTGAAAAGTTTGCTTCAGTGGTTTATACTTTGAACTGTGAAATACAGAAACCTGAAAAAACATTAGTGACTAAAAGACTTTATTTTCTCAGAGGTTAAAGCACACTAAAAGTTTTCACTTCACAAAGGACATTTAGGTATTTTTTTTTAATTTCTTTCTGTTTTCTAATGAATGATCAATTTTGCCTTGAAACTGAGACTGAGCCTATCAGGTTCCATTTAGCTGGATTTTTAAAAAAAAAATAGAATTGGAATAAAATATTAAATATCAAGCAGATGGATATGCTGATACTAAAATATTAATTTAATTTTTTTGATTGTACTGCATTGCCAGGGATGCTTTAACCACATCTTCAATAATTCAACCTCAATTGCAAGATGCATAAAATATTAGGCACCTCAACTGAGAGGAGAATGAAATAGATTTGAGAGCAATAATTTGCAGCTGCAAGTATTTGTGGAATACAATTCAAAGTCAATGCACTTCATGCTGAATTTTGTCTCACCCTAAAATTATTTCATAATCATTTCATTACCTGAACAAAAAAGATTTCTTATTTTTGCAACAGTGTATTGTTTACCAATAAGAAACCTACGATTTTAAAAAGATACAACAAACTGTAATTAATTAACCTGAAAAATTATAAGTGTTTATCTGACAAACAAAACGATGTTCTACACTATTGACTTTATCCTTGAATACCTTTTCTTAGATATGATGATGACCTATTAAACGTCAAAGTACTATTAAACAGTCTAACAATTATAAACAAAGGTTAATAATAGCAAAAATGACTTCATTGTACTTCTCCAATTACTTATCAATAAGCTCTTTATCGCTTTTACTTGTAGAGTTTTATATGAACACAAGGTTTATAAAATGCATTTCTTTCACTATATTTAAACATTTCTAAAGTTTAAAATACTAACAACTAGCTTAGCATGAAATGCAGTCTCTTACCTAGTGTTTCACTGTAAAACTTATCCCAGAATGCAAAGTCATATTGCTGGAGCCCAAATTCAAAAAATAGTGACAGCATCATATTTTTCACCCTTTCTGGGAAGGTCATATGGTCTGATAGTTCACTCATGACAACGGGTACATAGGAGAGAGGAATTGGAAGGTGGCCACAGTATTTCTCTATGGTAGATCCTATGGTGAACCTCAGGGTGGTCACAAAAGGGATCTGAAGCACCTCGGCCACCAACTCTCCACAGGGAATGATGGGGTCTATGACCATTACATCGTATTTTGCATCCCGGAGCTTGTCCATGAATGTCTGGTTGTACAGTGCACTCCTACAGATCTCTTCAAAATTTGCAGTCAATTGAATAAATAAATCTTGCAATGTTTTTGCTGCTTGCCAAACCGACAAATTTGGAATGACATCCACAGCCAGGTGCAGAAAATGGTTTAGAAATTTCTCAGGAGTCTCATTTCCATACAACACAGGAACATTCTCAAAGTTCAGCGCAGAGTTTTCAATCTGATCCACGATAAAACTTGGGAATTTCAGCACTGTCACCTCATGCCCTCTCTGCACAAGCTCCTCAAGAATAGTCTTTAGGTTCAGCCAGTGACTCATATCACAGGGCCACACGAGGACCTTGCCGCAGAAGCCACAGCCGACACAGCACAGCTGAAGCAGAAAAACTGCCACAGTCCACTTCTCAGATGCCATGGTTTGCTTTCCCAGGCTGCTCAGTGGAGATTGAGTGTTTACTCAGTTAAGTGATAATTTAGATATAAAATAAATCAAATATTAACTTCCAAAGTTATGAAAACACACAGGTCAAGAGATATCTGTTTGATATAGTGCCTATAGAACATTTTTCTGCAGATTACAATCATACCTATGAAGACCTTGATCCAGTTTTTTTAACAATTCTATTTTGAGCTTCTAAAAAATGGGACAAAATACAATATTTTAAAGTTAACCATGAAATGGTAGCAGGCACAGCACATGCATGTCAGCAGGAAGCTAGATGAAGACTGCTGAACTAGCTGCCTGGAAGAACACCTAAAGAAAACTGATGTTGGAATTACGGTCACTGAAGTGGGAAGCTTTTGGTTCACTGTGTGGACCACAGAGTGGGCAGGAAGTCAAGCTCAAAGAGAAGACTTTGGGGTTCATTTTAAATCTCTTTGAAAGTGTGTCAGGGAGACTATTATCTCAGCCTGTGGATGGAACCATAGAGTTAGAGTTCTTAAGATGGATGAAAAGTGAGAGTTCATCAACAATTTAAAAACAAAGTTTTGCCAGGTCTTGAGGTAGGTTGCTTCCTAATTTTCTGAGAAATTGCCATACTGATTTCCAAAGTGACTGTATTCCCATCAGCAATGGAGGAGTGTTTCTGTTGCCCCATATCCTCTCTAGCATAAATTGTCAGTGGTTTTCATGGAAGATATCGCCTACAGTTCCATGCCTGTCTGCCTGCTGCTGTGTTCCCTGCCATGATGGTCCCAGACTCACCCTCTGAAACTGTAAACCATATCCTAAGGAATTTGTGTATTAGTTACCATGGTCATGGCATCTCTTAAAGCAATAAAAATACAACTCAGAAAGGTGTATTTCCTCTTCAGGCAAACTATAATATTTAAAAATCTGGATAAAATATAAAATTATTTTGAAATTTACTTTCATTTTTGAAAACAAAAAAAATATTACCAGCTGTCTTTAAATCCTCCCCAAAATATGAAAAGTGGAATTCTCTTGTAACAAAATTTTACCAGAACTTGAGTAATTTCTTCCACAGCTACTGTAGAGGCCTGGAAATGTGAACCTGTTTTCACAATGACCAAAGGTCAGAGAGTTTGGAACTTTCACCTAGTTCCTTTAAGGTTATTGTCCTTCTACCTCAAACAAAGGTGCCACCTAGATATAGATTCAGAGAGTTCTTATAGTTAACCCATTCAACTCTCCTGACTTATTGTGCTGAATGCTTGCTAGGATTGCTGCTGTGATGAGGGTTAGAGCTCTAATAAGTCATCATTCCCAACTATAGAGATAATTCTTCCACAACACTGATCCAGTCAGTAACTGGACACAAAAGTCAAATGAAGGTCTTGGAATGGGGATCATTTTCTTCAATTGAAAGCTGGTCTATGTGCACCACTTCACCCAGAATTACCACAGCTAGGAGTGAGGCATAAATTAGGGCTGAGTTCAACTCTAATGCTTAGGGAACTAAAATGGCATCGAGATAATGTGGAAGGTGGGACAAGATGGAGCCTGGAGTTGGGGCTCTCACACTGTGAAATGAATGGCAGCAAAGTACATTTATGGGAGCTTGGGTCCATCTCAGTTTTTCTCTTTCCTTTAATATTTGTGCACAGGATTTGTTTATTAATAAAAAGCAGAAGAATCATTTTCATCTGACACCCAATGTGGGGTCTTTTTTGGCCATGCAAAGAAGTGCAGTTTCGCCCTGCCAAGTGCAGTGGTGGCTCTTTGCAACTTAGAGGAGAGTCTCAGGACACACACTTCAGCCTTTCCCCATCCCTCTTCTGGTCTCCTACATTCCTGCCTTCCCAGACACAGACTCCAGGCCAACCACTCCCCTATGAAGCTGGTTTTGCTCATTTTGAGCAAGTAGTGGAGCAGAATTTAATGTGCAGTCCAGTTGCCCTCCCAGGTCCATTCTATCCAGCTTGGGCAAGTGCTAAAGTAGAATCTGGTGCTGTGGCTCAGCTGACTCGGTGCTGTGCCTGCTCCACCTGCTGGTCAACCATCGACATTACATCTAAATACCTTCACACAACTCGACCCTCTGAGCACCGGATCCACCTTCTGGTCAAACATGATCATTACATCTATACAAACCAATTTTCAGAGGATCAGCATTGGAATCAGTAAAACACTTGGAAACTTAAACGGCAATCTGGTTTATTAAATTATTTAATTAATTAATTGAAATAAATTTAAAATATATTTAAAATAGAAAAGTATAATCTTCAAACATTTCCCATATTAAAAATATTAAATATAACATTGCAGGATATTTGGGCCCTGTTCACTACACTATGGAGGGGATCCAAATCAAAAAATTATGTGAGAAAAAAAAATTAAATGAGTAGATAAACAACTTAGCTAGCGTTAAGCTAATTTTGTCATAATTACTATCTGTATGGTAATTCATATTTTCTAGTTAAAAATTGTTTGATAACTGTGCCAAATATTAAAAAAATGACTGATAAAATACAAACCTTACAAATTATTTTACTAATCATAAGATATAAACTTTAGAATAGGTTACAATTGACAATATAAAAGCCTTACAAATAGTTGCTAAAAATATTACAATTTTGACTGATAAATTTCAAGCCTTAAAAAGCTTATTGAAACGGATAGTACAAATATTCAGACACAGACAGAGATATTGAGAGAAAAACAAACCCCACCATTATATTATTAAAATAGAGAGGAGCAGCCCAAGGTTATCCAAAAACCAACTGTAATTCACCTAGTAACCTTTAAGGGAACAACTGCCAAATGACAGGTATCCCCAAGGCTATGTGGGCGCTCCCTGGATTCCTGTGGAAATGTTAGATTTAAGGAGATGTAAGAAAACAATAGTCTCATATGGTAAGCATTCACCTTTTTTGATGTGAAATTCATGGAAAACTAGGTCTTTTAAATTTCACTTAATCAGATTTGTCTTCCCCCACAAAAAAAGTGTTATGTGTGTGGTGGGTATTTGCTCTGCCATGATCTTCATCTATGTGACCCAATAGGTGCTGTACTTCTTTTCTGCCTATGCGACCTCTGAAAAGAAGAGATTGGGCAATTGCTTGCTTTCTTGTGTGGTGGTCACAGAAGCAACTCTTGGTTCCATTCAACCCTAGGCAGGACAGAGGACTACAGTAGCTATTTGCATTGTTCTGTATCTGTGAGTGTATCCTAGTAAATCCTTGAGACCCCTTTAAATGGGCTCTTCTGGCTTTGTCTACAATGTGTACCTGTCATCAGCACAAAACTAGAGGTTTAAAAAAGGGTTATTTGTAGGGGGATACTCAGGCTGAATTTCCCTGGAAATGTACTAACTACAAGCAACTGATCCAAGAAGAAGACCTGGATTCTTATTTAGATGTATACTTAATTCCTGAATTAAGACAAAATAAATATAACATCTTTTTTTTTCCTCTTGGTCCTTATTCACAAATCTAACTTGGGACTAAACTATTAAGTTCACCTTTGGTGTATGCCATGAGGAAAATTCAAGCCCCTGGGTGAAAAGCTTGTTTAGCTGTGGTTCCAGGTCCACCTTCCTTGAAGGAAGCACTAAGCTAGTTAATCATTTACCACAAAATATTCTTGAATATTCCCAAGATATCTTTTTCAAGGACTTTCTCTGGTTATTTCTTGGTCCCGCTGCTTTTCTTTATCTTGTGGCCCACCAGCTCAGACTTTCTCTAGAGAAGGCAAAACCTCTGGGCCAATTAACTCCATTCTTATTAAAATGTACTAAGCCTTGTCAATAATTGTGGTTCATGAATATGTCCATTGTAAATCAGGCCTCCAGACTTTGAGACAGTCTCCAAATAAGTGCGGGTTCAGAGCAGGGTGTGTTCTATGGGGAGGATTCCTCCATGCTAACTAGTCTGAAGAGAGAGCTGCCAGGTCATGATAGACTAAAACGTTTGACCAATAAGGACTTCTGACAGTTTAATGATTATAAAATGTGATAACAATAGCAAAATAACCTGATAGTGTTTCTCATTTTGTTATCAATAAATGATTAATTACTTTTGCTTGCAGAGCTTTTACCTGGACAGCAAAATAAATGAAATGTTTTCCTTTGATTTTTAAATACATTTAAGCTTTAAAAGAATATTTAACAACTAGATTACATGAAATGTAGTGTCTTTTCTAGTGTTTCACTGTAAAACTGATCCCAGAATGCAAAGTTGTATTGTTGGAACCCAAATTCAAAAAACAGTGGAAGCATCATATTTTTACCTTTTCTGGGAAGGTCATAATTTTGGTTTACCCATGATAACTGGGACATAACAGAGTGGATTTGGAAGCTGGCCACAGTATTTGTCTGTGGTGTACATGATGATTAACCTCAGAGAATTCATAAAAGGAACTTTAAGCACAGGTCTCCACAGAGAACAACCAGGTCTATAACCATTACATTATTCTTTGCATTCTAAATCTTGTCCATGAATGTCTGGTTATATATATATACTCCTACAGATCTCTTCAAAATTTGCAGTCAATTGAGTAAGTAAATCTTGAAGTTGCTTACCAATGTGATATTGTTGAGATGACATTCATAACTATGTATACAGTATAATTTTGAAAATTCACAGCAGTCTTATTCCCAAATGAAACTGTGATATCTAACTTCTCAAGAATAGTCTGTAGGGTCAGCCAGTGACTCATATCAAAGGACTACATGAGGACCTTGCTGCAGAACCATTTCTGACATAGCAAAGCTGTATCAGACAAATTGCCACAACCCATTTCTCAGATGTCATCACCTTAGTTTAGTAACAGTTTAGATATTAAATAATTTCAAAATTAACTCCCTATGTTATTCAAACACAGAAGTCAAGATGCCTTTCAGATACAGCACCCATAGAACATTCCTCTCGGGAGTACAATATGTTAAATTCTTAGAAGGTTCTAGATCCAGTTATTTAAAAGTTCAAGTCTCAACCTCTTAAATTGGAAACAAAATAT